AGAGGCTGTGTGGGAAGTACGCCAAACTCTGATGATGTATTGAATAATTTCCAGATTAGTAGGTGCGAGATCGGGGTATCACAGTATTGGGCTCTCGACTGAGATATCCCGATCTCTCTCAATTACAGGTGACATATTTAATTAATCCCAACTCAGTATGTTTTATTGTGTTGTATTGTGTTGTATTTTGTTGTATTGTATTGTGTTGTATTGTGTTGTATTGTGTTGTATTGTGTTATGTTGTGTTGTGTGGCATTGTATTGTATTGTGCTGTATTGTATTGTATTGTGTTGCATTGTGTTGTGTTGTATTGTGTTGTATTGTATTGTGTTGTATTGTTTTGTATTGTGTTGTATAGTGTTGTATTTTTTTGTATTGTATTGTGTTGTATTGTGTTGTATTTTGTTGTATTGTATTTTGTTGTATTGTGTTGTATTTTGTTGTATTGTATTGTATTGTATTGTATTTTGTTGCATTGTGCTGTATTGTATTGTATTGTATTGTGTTGTATTGTGTTGTATTGTGTTGTGTTGTATTGTATTGTATTGTGTTGTATTGTGTTGTATAGTGTTGTATTTTTTTGTGTTGTATTGTGTTGTAGTGTATTTTGTTGTATTGTATTGTATTGTATTGTATTTTGTTGTATTGTGTTGTATTTTGTTGTATTGTATTGTATTGTATTGTGTTGTATTGTGTTGTATTGTATTGTATTTTGTTGTATTATATTGTATTGTATTGTATTGTATTGTGTTGTATTGTATTGTGTTGTATTGTGTTGTGTTGTATTGTATTGTGTTGTATTGTATTGTATTGTGTTGTATTGTGTTGTGTTGTATTGTGTTGTATTGTATTGTGCTGAGTTGTGTTGTGTTGTATTGTATTGTGCTGAGTTGTGTTATGTTGTGTTGTATTATATTGTGCTGAGTTGTATTGTGTTGTATTGTGTTGTGTTGTATTGTGTTGTATTGTGTTGTGTTGTATTGTGTTGTATTGTATTGCGTTGTATTATATTGTGTTGTGTTGTATTGTATTGTGTTGTATTGTGTTGTATTGCGTTGTATTGTGTTGTATTGTGTTGTATTGTGTTGTAATGTGTATTGTATTGCGTTGTATTGTGTTGTATTGTATTGTATTGTGTAGTATTGTGTTGTATTGTATTGTATTTTGTTGTATTTGGTTGTATTGTGTTGTGTTGTATTGTATTGTGTTGTGTTGTATTGTGTTGTATTGTATTGTGTTGTGTTGTATTGCGTTGTAATGTATTGTGTTGTGTTGTGTAGTATTGTATTATCTACAAAGTTGTAACACAATAGCGTTGGTCCATATTGATTTTATTTAAATATAGCTAAACATTAAATTATTATCAAATCAGCTGAGACTCAAATGAAAACATCAATAAGAAAATATGCGACGTCAAAATACAGGACACAAATCACGACATATATACACAAGTGGAGAGTATTTTAACCAATGAAAATAAATCAATATCTATTAATACATATTTATATTTAACACGTAAAAACAGAATATAACAGAGTAATACAACAGGATGTAAATGTTAAACATCGTAGATACAAGATCATTAAGTCGATAAGATTTTATCTCTATGTTATGGTGTGACCTAATCCTAGATATAACCTAGCATTAAAGTTAAACACTCGTTTCATGTTTGAAAAGATAAATTACTTGATACACGTGTAACGATTTCGCTCTAAATTAACCTGGACCCTTGTCAAGCCCAACATTTGATCCACTTTTTCCAAGAAATGTGTAGACAAATTACACCGATAAACTTTTAAAAAAACGTATTTCTTTTCAGTTGACTACCAATATAATAGATAGTAATTATGGGCAATTTCTAACATTAAACTGGCATTTAAGACATAAGACATATACAATACGGTAATTTACATCAATAGTTTTCTACTTCAATCAGAATAAAAGTCAGTAAGACAAAGTATATCAGTAGTAGTAAACATATCCTAGTCTATGTATCAGTAGTAATAAGCCCAGGAAATCATAAAGTCTTACGTGGGGCGGTTCCGAAAGGATATTTCAGCCCGCGTGTAAGAGTTTGGGTTAGTCAGCACGAGTCTCGCAGAGTGCTGGCAAGCCAACCTCTACACGAGGTCCAAGACATCCATCTCCACGTAACAGACGCATTTTTCTACCATGCCTGAAAATAGTTACGCATTGCATTTTGTAGTTAAAGCTATTCATCACTAAATCTTCAATATCATACGAAATGAGCGCTGAAATTGGCATGGTTACGCTACATGAAATGATGACGCTAACCAATTGTTAGAACGTCATTACGCGAGCTCACCGTCTTTTCCCTAGGTAGGAAAAGAACATATTTATATATTTCCCTTCCGAAAACCGGAATGCATGAATATAGGAGAAGAATTTAAATTCAATCATATAAGCCTTGACACGTTGCTCTGAAGGCCTTTTTTTCCTGCATTGTAACAATGGCATTAATAGCAATTGTATGGAGGTCAAGCTTAAAAGATCTGACTGAAAAATAACGGATTATTAATGCGCTCAATTTTCGTGGTGTTTGCTTTGAAAGAATGCCGTGGGCACTTGATTTAGTGAATAAAAATACCCAATGAAAACTACTTTAATGAAACATTCATGCCAATCTCTTGAGAGTTAATTTTCACGGATCCGCATTCTACTGGCACGTCGACATTCTCCGTGTTGTTTTCGTGGTAATAGTACATATGAATTTAACAAAACGACATCCAGCAAGGAAGTTCATTCACAGCCTAATAAATCCCACCTAGCTATCTACCTTACTGTGATATTGGTCTACATCAATACGTTTGTGTTTCTATACAAATATTTGTAACTTATAACAAAAACCCTAACTAACCAGTGCACAGAAATATGTATGGAACTTCTGTTGAGGTCAAATAGTGATTATAAATGAAAATTACTTTACCAATTAAAGAAAACACATACATCTATCAGTCATCTATGTTGCCTCGTTTGTTATCATTTTATAGATTTAATATTGAATTATTGTCGAACATCAGATGACGCAGATTTAATTCTGCAGTAATACATCTCAGACGTACTTTGATCAAGTTTGCGGGCATCTTCCAGAGATATCATTACAGTCAAGTATTCTATTTTCTGTCATTTTCCAAACGTCATTCATTAAGGCGGTGATAACGTAATTCTGGGCTGTCGTGTAACAAATCAGATATTGATACAAGCCAATGGGATTGGAGGAACAACACCTCCTCTCAATTTTAGCGTCAGGAGGTTTTCTCTTATAAAAAGATGTTTTCTAGGACGTCAAAGAAGCATTTTCCCGTATTTTGCCAATATTTCCCCTGGCTGACACCAAGTGAATCTTCCCTTTGACTTCAAAGTATTATTCTGCTTTTGGAAAACTAGAAAGAAATGAATGCATTTTGATGCATTCCCATTAAATCAGGTTTCTTTTCTTTTTTTTAGGCTAAGTGATTTCATCATCAGAATGTTAATGAAAATCTATTTCATATTGAGTAACTGTAGATAGATTCAATCCTACTGAGATTTCACATAGAATAATTGAAGGTGACTTCAATCTTACTGAGATTTCACATAGCATAATTGAAGGTGAATTCAATCTAACTGAGATGACAATATTTGTCTTGATTGTGAAATATAGTACACATGAAAAGGTATAAAAATGCTATAACAATAAACATGATAGTAAGGTTATTTAACTTCTTAAACTCCAGTACACATATCTTAAAATAAATACGATAAATGTTTATAGGAAAATGACATTTTTTAATACAAAGATATGAACACCTATACAATAATAAATATGACTGGTAATCTGTATGAACTGTATGTTTTCTCTCATATCCCGCCATATTGGATAGAGTTTGCCCATGTAAGATAGCTATGTAAGAAAATTCTATCTTACATGGGCAAACACGTGCGCGGAGTAATCTGTGTTCAGGGGAGACAACTCTTACAGCGTCGTCTGCTTGTTTATGTCACGGGTCATAAAAACACACAGTCGTTGAATAATTACAGGACACTAAATGACAGACAGAAGTACACGATTTCCAATATGTTGTAAAATACAAAAAGCTCCGAATTAATTCCATCAAACCGAACACCATCCTCTGCCACCATTTCATCAACTTAACAGTTACTAGGCCTACATCTGATGTCACAGTGTGTTTACCATCGTTATCACAACAAGAAAACACGGTTAACACCTACAATCCTGTATCACAGAAACAATATGAAAACTCGCATCGAATCCTTGTTTGCTGGTTCTCATATTGAAAATTGCTAAATCACCGTAAATATCACCACAAATGTTCCACCACCCAAACGTCGTCGATTCATGGTGATCGAGAGCGACAGCGACTCGGAATAGGAGATCGTGTGACGTCACGCCTTGGATTTATGAATGGAATTCCTTTGACTATGGTGACGTCATGTCAGCGTCACAGCATTTTGAAAAAATGATGAAACAGTAAAAAGATACATTGACATATTTCTTAAAATGATCAAATATGTGATTTTGATGATAAAACTATATGTTGAATTATAAAAATCCGTTCCTTGTTGATTTCTTTGAAGTATTTGACGGAACAATTTCTTTTCGCGGATGTTTACTTACACATACTATATAATCACACAGAGATCATTTTTGTTTTTTTTTTCATCTGCGAATAATATATTCGTCCTGCAATATACCGAAAAATGGTTTGAAATTTGACAGCAAACTGGAAGTTTGCAAAATATGGGTATGATCGTTAAGAATATCCAGTTCGTTTTTTATAAAAACCTCGGATTAAAAAAAATAGAAAAATGACGATAATGGACGACCGACTGTGCTTTCCCAAAAATTTTGGTAAAGATATGAGAGAAAAAGACTCTTTCATTATGTGTGTATGTAGGATAGGGATATTCCACCCTCGGGGTAACAAAATATGGTAAAACCCTCGGCAGAGCCTCGAGTTTCAAGATGTTTTGTGACCCTCGGGTGGAATATCCCCATCCTACATGCACGCATATGAAAGTCTTATAATCTTCCGTATTTGCCCTTGATAACATTAATAACATTTTATGATTTTTTTTTTTCATACTTAAATATTCAACCCTTTTAAAGATATATGATACATATACATATAACATAAAGATATATATACAACATGTATTTCTAAACGTGTTTTCTGTTGAAGGTAGAATTGGATAGGATAAACAACCTAGTAAAGAGACATGTACCATACTATTTGTCCCAACATATGTAGCACTATTAAACATATATATCTTCAAATGTTATATGAAAGCGTCATTTCCAGATCACTCAAAACCTTTTCCCCAAACAGCAAATATAAACGATTTTCCAACAACAGGTTTAGCTAGATTATCTAGGAATAGCCCGGCATTTATAGACATTTGGTAAAATAACTGGTGCCGATATGGCAAATTGTCGGGGATCGTGGGGCGGAAGTACTGTATCCTCTTCCGGTTGAAATTCGAATGTTCTAAGGAGATGTACAGCATATAAGAACATCCGGTTGTAAGCCATATCTCTACCTACACATTTTCTGTCTCCGACTCCGAAGGCGATAGAACTAAAAATGAAATGTAGACAACATTAAGCTGTGACAGATTATATTCCTTATCATACACGATGATTTGCTTCTAAGACAATATTCTTTTGTTTTCAAACATTGTTCTTTATAGCTCAATCAAATGGCCTTTTACATAAAACCAATCTGTATATGAATGCATCATGATATGATAAACCCTAAATACGAATAGAATTTTTTTTATTTCCGGCATTCTTTCAACGTTGTGAAAAAGAAAAAAAATGTATCGCATTAACAACTTACTTCCTCTCCAAAATATTGTACTAACTCATTTGAAAACAATTTTGTGTTGCTAAATATTTAATAGTACATTTTATGATGATATCTCTAAACCCTGATCTATTCCATTGCTGTGCCGTCCACTTACTTTCTGTGAACAGCATGATCCTTTGGGACGAGTGTGCCATTGTCTGTTAGATATCGCTCCGGGCGAAATTCCCAGGGGTCGTTCCATAATTCCTCGTCATGATGAGCTCCGTACAAGTTCCCGAAAATCTGCATTAAATGTATCTAACGGTTATATGCATAGACGTAACCCGTATCATAGACAAATGATTGTCGCTCCGTAAGAACTATGCATTTAAAAAAAATATTTATCATAACAAAGGTAATTATAAAACTGGTATAATAATCATAATAACAGACTTGTCAAGAAAATCTTTGTTCAAATTCACATGCAATGGAAAATACGAAGAATTTGCGCTGACACTCCCAAAAAGTACACAGAGAATTAAACATTCCGGAAGGAATAGCGTCTTTCGTGTCATCGACCATACCCGCTTTAGAAATCTTTATCAATCCGAGAGAACTATCTCAATAATAATGACACCAGACATACGAGCGAATATCAAACATGTCTAATTTTATATCGCACAAAGAGAATTAATACAGAAGTTATGAACTATTGCTCCACCCCGCCCCTGCTGGGCATGTTAAAACTACTTACAACGCTTCCTTTCTGTATTGTGTAACCTTCAATTTCTACCTCATGGTCAATGTTAGCATGGGCAGCTGTTAGCGGCAGATGAGACTGGTATCTAAGCAGTTCATAGATACAGGCTTGTACATATGGCAAGTTCTTCCGGTCTTCGATTGTGGGTAATCTCTCTCGTCCAATCACTTGATCTATTTCATCTCTCATTTTCTGCTGAACGTCCGGTAGGTGGAGCCACATAAAAATCATTCCGGACATGACACTTTTAGTTGTTAGCACGGCTTAAAAATTAAAGAAAGTTTTGTTAATAATATGCTTCCCAGTACGGCATCTTCACTTGCTCAAGGTTGAAATATCTTTAAGTAGGATTATGATTTTTACCTATCAGAAAAAATCGTTCAAAATATCAACAAGATTTTTCTCTGTCTTACTTCATAACTATTTGCGAGAAAATCTCCTGATTTAGAAGAACCGAAATTGCCTACAATCCTGTCTGTGTTTAACGTTTTCCTTTTTCACTTATTATACATTTTGTTATTTTCCACGGAATTAATTTTTTCCGTATAATCTGAAGTAAACTTTTCCTTTTCATGATTTCCTAGAAAATGGAATCCCATTATCGACATAACAATCGATTGTATTGGCAATGTTTCTATCACTTCACGAATTGTCTATAATGACCTTGTGTAGTCTACACCAGCTGACATGTCAGTATATTTGTGTTTAGTCTGTACCGCCTGACCTGTCAGTATATATGCGTTTTGTTCCCTCTTTTTACGTACTTTGTGAAATGTCATTTGTAACGATAACATGAGAGCTATCTTATGATGCTCCACACAAAAGCAGTGTTAGCATGAAGAATCGAACACATGGTATATTGCTACTAAACTTCGACTTTTACTGCGCGTGATGGAACGACAGCGGCTGTCACGGTTTTCAAAGGCTTATCCTAGAACTGGGCTGTATTCCTGGAGATGATTTTGTGTTCCGAAATCGGAATAATGTCAAAGAAATACAACATAAATCAGTTGTTGTTCTGTAAAAATGAATAAAACCGATGATCATTTTTGTATATAAGTTATTATTTCTATGGAGTACATCAAAAACACTAAAGAGTTCCAAAATTTGGAAGCAACTTTAAAACTTTTCAGAAAATTATGTAAGCGCGACATTTATCTTTGGTATGTGTCACTAATTGGAATCTGCATACAAAATAATGAACAGTGATATGTGAGAACTATTTTCAAATTCCCGAGATATTGTTTCAATGTTTGTTTATCAATTGAAATGTGTTCTCACGATGATCTGACGAATTATAATAACTTATATACAGTAGCTACAAGGGTTTCCGTTTATGGTTGTGCATCATATTTAAAAATGTACCAAATGAGAATCAGGTTTTGTGACCAACGCGGAAATGTTGGGCCGATGAAAATTTCTGACCGATGTTGTGCTGCTCCGTGTATACGTCACGTGACTAGGTTAGGCAGTGCATACAGGACTATTACAACCAGTCACGTGTGACGATACGCGATGAGAATTATTAGATAAAATTTTCATGAAATGACGTTATTTACTCGACTCTTTCATGTAGTTCAACATCCATATACATACGTAGCACATCTGTGACCTGTTGTAATTTTCTAATAAATTTGCAACATTAAAATAAAGACATGACACCGTCATGACAGAGGTGCCAAGATGGAGAGTGATGAAAGTGCAAGAGGAAGACAACACTTATTCGTAAAAAGAGGAACTTTATAACGAATAATTTGAAAAATATTTGTCGACATCAATAACGATGCCATGCGTTTTCACATCAGTAAGAAATATATTTTGTATCGAGAAAGAGGCTGTCGCTTTTTTTAACAACATTGACATACGGCATAACTCAGAATACTCATGGGAACATTAAACTTTCAATAAAAGTTAAAGTTCTGCAAAGTAAAGCATATATATATATATGCATGACGGTGTTTCGTCTCTACGACCCGGGTAACATGTGAGTCATGTTCCTACTTCCTAAACGTACTCCGTCAAATCCCTATTTAATACTACTTATTACTACCGATCCACTCACACGTGTTAATCAAGTCCATTAACATGCCGTTAATATGTTGATCTGTCAGCCAATCACATCCATTTGTCTCTTTACAGGAGAGCATATCATGTGAATAACACTTCACATTGTCCTTATCCAGGGTTTCCTGTAAACAAAATTAATTTGTTAAATGCTAGTAAGAATTAAAGGGTATAGTTAGAATTATTTATGGATGTACTCCATCCTCATTGGATTGAAAGAAGAAAATTATTCAATATAAAACTATTTCCATTGTTTTGTTTTTATTTTCTGTGTTTTTATATACTGTCTTATCTAAAGCTATAGCTAAAAATCGCTTAATTTCACGTTTAAAGGTAAAAACACCGCTGTATATATATGTACGTGTGTGTGCGTGTTTGTGTGGGTGATGGTGTGCGCGCGTGTCTGTGAGTGTGTGTGCGAGTGTGTGAGGTGAGTGTGTGTGAGTGTGTGTGTGTGTGATTGCGCGCGCGCGTGTGTGTGATGGCGTGCGCGCGTGTGTGTGATGGCGTGCGCGAGTGTGTGTGAGTGTATCTGTGTGTTTGAGAATAGAATTGTCCTCCACCATCTTGAACATTACATTAAGAATTTCGATAATGTATTTACGTATACAATGTACTTGTACCTATTTGTTGCATTACATGTGGATATAATAAAACTTGAAACTTGGCTGAGTACTTTGGTAATAGATCTTGCATGTCTTTTCTTGGACATTTTTCCGACGCAAGAATATTTTTGCAGTCAAAGAAGATTCGGAAATAGTGTAATCAGTACTGTTATACTTCAGAGCGTATTCAGCATCATTTTTATACTCGTTATCTTTTTTCTGAAAACGAATAAGTTTTTTTACCTTCATATCTGTAACAAGACTTTTAAACAGTGATTCTCGCTGTTGAATGACGTTGCTGTAAAGGTTGCCATAGAAACCACAGCAACGCCGTAACCACGGAAACTTGCTAAGGACGCCATGAACCTGTGGTTGTATCATGATGTCACCATCATGATCCAAAGCAATGATGCTTTCAAGAATCGGGTCGCCATCTTTCAAATGTTTGCCAGAAAACTGAATAAAAAGCAAAAATATATATTTTACCATTTCAAAAAAAAAAAAAAAAATGTACATGATGCAACGCATATACATAAATGAGTCCCTATATTTAAGCTGATCAAACTTCGTGTGACAAAATAGTAACCCCCTTCACCCCCTCTCTGACCATTCAGTTGTACATGAACCTGTATACTTGAGGCAGACAAATATTAACACATTGTTTAGAAGGGAAACATTGGTTAGCCAGTTAAGTAGGAAGTAATTCGGTGAACACTGACGTGAACCCGGAATCCCGCTCCACACCTTGACAACAGTGATCGACCCATCAGTAGTTTTGACCTAGCTATTTGATCAGTAACGGCCTAGCAAACTAATATTTTTAGCAACAACGTTTTCTTTAAAATATTATTATTATTACATTCTTAACGGCCCGTCAACACATAGAATGTCATCAGGGCCATCAATCGGTAAAACACACAGCGATCCGAAAGGGAATAACATTAGATAAAAAAGACTAATTCTATCGATGAATTTTCACAAAAAAATCACTTTATATGAAATTATTATGAATTGATAGCTATTGCAAAAGAAATTTTGCTTTTGTGTGTTTTTCTTTCTTTTTTTTTTTACTTCCGCATAATGCTGTTCCGTTTTTATCACTGTGTTTACTCAAATGTATAGTGCGTTGTAATTGAATTGTATGATATCTGAATGAATTTACGAATGATAAACACACATAGTGTATTGTACTAAACATCTGTTTGAAGTTCCGACCTAGTTTACAAGTGTTTACAGTTGTGGAGGATTACAAGGTTCATACAAATGAAACCCGAACGTCGTCCCACTTAACACCAAAGTGTTTAGTGGTCGTCCATTACCAGGGGATCGGTACAGTGTCCCGGATGTACTACTTGACACGTGATTCATTGTTTTACTGTACATCAAGTCTATATCACAATAGAAACATCTTCACGTGTATTTAGTTGATTGAGTGAGCCACTTAGAACACGATCACCACACACCAAATTACCATCAAATGTCATACTACGTCATCAGTGTAGATATTAAAACTGAAACACCGGATGTGTCTCACGAGTAATCAATCAATACCAGAACTTCAAACGAGATGAAAACAAGTTTGACTTTTGCAAATAAGTGGACGAGGTTAACACTGAATCCTCTCTTTATAATGCTACTCTGAAATATGTCTGCAGATTTTTAGCTTCATAATCAATATGTCTTGTTAAATGCAATGTGTGTTCTTTTAATATTAACGACAGGCAGAAGAAACTTTGCAATACAGACACAATGCAGACACACTAGCGTTCGGTCCTGCAATATTGAATTTAGTGCACAAATCGTCTTTTACCAACGGTATGAACTAGCATAAAAATGCAGTACACTTAAACTTAGCACAGGTGAATTTGGAAAGGTTTTCACCCCAAAGAATCTTTTTCATATTAAGATAAAAGTTTTTAAAAGATAGGTTTCTTTCTTACATTTGACGAAGACCCGATTTACAAAGCTGAGACATCATGGTACATCCCTGATGTTCGGCAAAACAGTATGTTGTTAGACCAGACAGATAAGTTGTAAGGTCAGACAGAGAAGTTGTTAGACCAGACAGATAAATTGTTAGGTCAGACAGAGAAGTTGTTAGGTCAGACAGATAAATTGTTAGACCAGACAGAGAAGTTGTTAGGTCAGACAGAGAAGTTGTTAGACCAGACAGATAAATTGTTAGGTCAGACAGAGAAGTTGTTAGACCAGACAGATAAATTGTTAGGTCAGACAGAGAAGTTGTTAGGTCAGACAGATGAGTTGTTAGACCAGACAGATAAATTGTTAGGTCAGACAGAGAAGTTGTTAGGTCAGACAGATGAGTTGTTAGGTCAGACTGATAAGTTGTTAGGTCAGACAGATAAGTTGTTAGGTCAGACAGTTAAGTTGTTAGGTCAGACTGAGAAGTTGTTAGGTCAGACTGAGAAGTTGTTAGGTCAGACAGAGAAGTTGTTAGGTCAGACAGATGAGTTGTTAGGTCAGACTGATAAGTTGTTAGGTCAGACAGATAAGTTGTTAGGTCAGACAGTTAAGTTGTAAGGTCAGACAGATAAGTTGTTAGGTCAGACTGAGAAGTTGTTAGGTCAGACTGAGAAGTTGTTAGGTCAGACAGATGAGTTGTTAGGTCAGACAGATGAGTTGTTAGGTCAGACAGATAAGTTGTTAGGTCAGACAGAGAAGTTGCTAGGTCAGACAGATAAGTTGCTAGGTCAGACAGATAAGTTGTAAGGTCAGACAGATGAGTTGTTAGGTCAGACAGATGAGTTGTTAGACCAGACAGATAAATTGTTAGGTCAGACAGAGAAGTTGTTAGGTCAGACAGATGAGTTGTTAGGTCAGACAGATAAGTTGTTAGGTCAGACAGATGAGTTGTTAGGTCAGACAGTTAAGTTGTAAGGTCAGACAGATAAGTTGTTAGGTCAGACTGAGAAGTTGTTAGGTCAGACTGAGAAGTTGTTAGGTCAGACAGATGAGTTGTTAGGTCAGACAGATAAGTTGTTAGGTCAGATAGATAAGTTGTTAGGTCAGACAGATAAGTTGTAAGGTCAGACAGATAAGTTGTAAGGTCAGATAGATAAGTTGTATGGTCAGACAGATAAGTTGTTAGGTCAGATAGATAAGTTGTTAGGTCAGACAGATAAGTTGTTAGGTCAGACAGATAAGTTGTAAGGTCAGACAGATGAGTTGTTAGGTCAGACAGATAAGTTGTTAGACCAGACAGATAAGTTGTTAGGTCAGACAGATAAGTTGTTAGACCAGACAGATAAGTTGTTAGGTCAGACAGATAAGTTGTAAGGTCAGACAGAGAAGTTGCTAGGTCAGACAGATAAGTTGTTAGGTCAGACAGAGAAGTTGTTAGGTCAGACAGATGAGTTGTTAGGTCAGAGAGATAAGTTGGAAGGTCAGACAGATAAGTTGTTAGGTCAGACAGATAAGTTGTTAGGTCAGACAGATAAGTTGTATGGTCAGACAGATAAGTTGTTAGACCAGACAGATAAGTTGTTAGACCAGACAGATAAGTTGTTAGACCAGACTGATAAGTTGTATGGTCAGACAGATAAGTTGTATGGTCAGACAGATAAGTTGTAAGGTCAGACAGATAAGTTGTATGGTCAGACAGATAAGTTGTTAGACCAGTGTAACAAAATAAGATCCGATTAATAATTATGCAGTTAATAACCAATCAGAGTTAATTAATAATATATTATATAATTGATGATATTTAGTGCAGAGCTATCAAACCGTTTATCGGTCAAGGAATTAGATAAGTACTTAAGGTCTCACGTTAAATACATAATTCAAGCATTTATGGTCAGTTTATAGAACTGGACCTACGTCATTGAATACTTATGAAACTTCAAATTGTGAGATCAGCATGTTTTGACCGGAGTATTACAAAATTTGGGCTAATTCTGGTAGGGTTAGGAACACTTGACCATATCACATTTTTGGCAACGTGATCGTTGTCTATAAAATAGGGGCTCGCACTGTTGCTAACAGACTTGGGGAGAACGACTGGCCAGAGAACATCACCAGTGTTACTCTCTCTCCTCATTTCTCATATTCGGCCAATGGAATCTAAAACTTGTTAACTGTAGACTTTATTTCAACTTTTCGAACACTTTCGTTTTAACTGCATGTGAAGACTAGAGAACTTGCACTACCTGGTTGGATTGTTATTTTTAAGCATATATAAGCACCTGAGGTGTTATGAAGTACTAACTATGGAAAACCACTATACGATGAAATAAACGTTTCGGTCAACCCAAGTAAACACTGTGTTTAGTCATTGTGTTACACCAGGCAGATAAATTGTTAGGTCAGACAGTTAAGTTGTAAGTTCAGACAGTTAAGTTGTAAGGTCAGACAGAGAAGTTGTTAGGTCAAACAGATGAGTTGTTAGGTCAGACAGACAAGTTGTTAGGTCAGACAGAGAAGTTGTAAGGTCAGACAGATAAGTTGTTAGACCAGACAGATAAATTGTTAGGTCAGACAGTTAAGGTGTAAGGTCAGACAGTTAAGTTGTAAGGTCAGACAGTTAAGTGGTTTGGTCAGACAGATGAATTGTAAGGTCAGACAGTTAAGTTGTTAGGTCAGACAGAGAAGTTGTTAGGTCAGACAGATAAGTTGTTAGGTCAGACAGTTAAGTTGTTAGGTCAGACAGATAAGTTGTTAGGTCAGACAATTAAGTTGTTAGGTCAGACAGAGAAGTTGCTAGGTCAGACAGTTAAGTTGCTAGGTCAGACAGATAAGTTGTTAGGTCAGACAGATAAGTTGTTAGGTCAGACAGATGAGTTGTTAGGTCAGACAGTTAAGTTGTTAGGTCAGACAGAGAAGTTGCTAGGTCAGACAGATAAGTTGTAAGGTCAGAGAGATAAGTTGTTAGGTCAGAGAGATAAGTTGTTAGGTCAGACAGATGAGTTGTTAGGTCAGACAGTTAAGTTGCTAGGTCAGACAGTTAAGTTGTTAGGTCAGACAGTTAAGTTGTTAGGTCAGATAAATGAGTTGTTAGACCAGACAGATAAATTGTTAGGTCAGACAGTTAAGTAGCTAGGTCAGACATTTAAGTTGTTAGGTCAGACAGAGAAGTTGCTAGGTCAGAAAGATAAGTTGTAAGGTCAGAGAGATAAGTTGTAAGGTCAGAGAGATAAGTTGTTAGGTCAGACTGATAAGTTGTTAGGTCAGACAGTTAAGTTGTTAGGTCAGAGAGATAAGTTGTAAGGTCAGACAGATAAGTTGTTAGGTCAGACAGTTAAGTTGTTAGGTCAGATAAATAAGTTGTTAGACCAGACAGATAAATTGTTAGGTCAGACAGTTAAGTAGCTAGGTCAGACAGTCAAGTTGCTAGGTCAGACAGATGAGTTGTTAGATCACACAGTTAAGTTGTTAGGTCAGACAAATAAGCTGTTAGGTCAGACAGATAAGGCGATACGTGTTTAATTACATCACGGAAGTCGCCGTGGAAATGGTACCTCATCCGATCTTTTAACATTTTGTAGAAATAGAATTTTGTTGTGGTTTGCTGACACCTGCATGTCATATTTTAATTCATTTTGACTTGTGACACGGACTAGAATATACACATGTACTTAAAATTCTTTTCGATAGTCAATGGGTAAAGATGGTGCACCTTTCCACCAAATTCTTTGAACTTTGAACTTTCCTCAATTTCCTCCTAGGTTTCTATATTTATGTTCTCAGCATCACTGACGAATCTTAGCAGGGCTGTTCGATGTAAACTTGATTTTACTGTACGTAAATCGAAATTTGTAATGAGTAGTGTCATTCGCTTGTGTGTATTTTGTAAACTTTTATAATTATCATATCGGCTACGGATCAGACAGAGTTAGGAGTTTAGCCAATCGTTAAACACGATAAGGTCTTTAAGGTTATTTTTTTTTTTATCAAATTTGAGTATTCTTGAAAGTAATACCGCGTCTTGTGTGAAAGACCGAACAGTTACTGAAAAGTCACGTATCTTTCAATCACCGACTCTAGTAATGTTTTATGAACTGATTGGGTTTGTTATATAACACATCGAAGGATAAATTTGCATACTAACTGGTTTTACATCTGTTTCGCTAATTACAAATTTACCAATTAATAACTGGCGTATTAGACCACTAGAAACACTCCCCAAACACTTAGCGCTCCAACACACGCATTCATAAACAGAGTTCATTTTGGCCTACAAACAAACCACACATACCGTACCCTATGAGGCACACAACATCTAGTTATACTTACAAATCCACCTATGAGTTTACAAAACGATGGCATGAGGAGCTTAACGGCATCTACAGCTTGGCCGTTCTGCGCGTGAAACTGATTCAGCACACATCGGAACTCCTCGTCCGCAATATCCTGGAAGTGTTTGGAAGAGAAACCATGCTTGTTTATACAAGACACCATTAATTTCTTCATTTTTCTAAACGACTCGCTGTACCTGTTGAGCAGCACGTCCCTGTAGTTATACATGACGTACTTGCCGATGAAATTTGGAGGTCTGTCATTCACAAGAGAAGCGAATTCTTCACTTTCAAATGCTTTCCGAATCAACTCCGGGGAATTCAGTACAACAATGTTCTGTCCTAATATTTTAAAACTTATAATGTCTCCATATTGTCTTTTCCATTTCTCTAGATTCTTGTGCATCTCTCCGGGGCTAACCTGAAAATGGACACCAAAATAAGGCATCCCTTTCGGCCCCGGAGGGTATTTCTTCTTTCTTTTCGTCTTTTTCGTGGAATCACGTAACTGATTTTCGTCCACAGTTACCGTTTCATTTCCGGTCACACTGTAGATTAGTGCGAGGAAAACGCAAGTTGCAGCCAGTGTAGCTTTGACAAACATCGTATGATGACCTAGGGAGTTCCAAACCTGAAAATATATCAGAATACATTAATGTTTATCACACAGAGACATAAAGTGCGGTTCTAGATCAAGCATATGACCGTACCGTGCCAAACCAAACAAGGCAGGAAAAAACATTTTCCAGGAATGTACAAATGATGAGTGCTAATCGATTTTTTCTGAGTAGGGATATATATGGATGATTTTGAGTGCTGCTTAAATGAAGACAAACTTGGCAACGTTTTCATAAAAAAAAACCCAGCTCGATGACTGTACAAAAAATGTGAAGAATAGCGCCATTCGATACATATTAAGAATTAGTTAGAGCAGACCCAAATAATGAAATATACTACAACACACAGCTGTTTGGTCATTCTTTGACGCGTCACTGATAATAAAGGCATATATTTCAAACTCGGCAGAGCCTCGGGTTAGACAACAACAAAAATCACCCCTCGGGTTGGAGATTTCTCTATCACACCCTCAGGGTAGGGAAGATTCTATTTGTTCCATATGTTAGGAAATTTCGCAATGATCATGTATCTGATAGCTTTACATGAACGTAAAGTACATGTGTATATTCTGATACGTGCCACTGTCCGAATGAATTAAAACATGGCATGCATTTTACGATCGATGATGGGGATAGCGTGTTCCGTCCTTGTGAAAAGCATATTCTAAATTTAGAAACTCGGCGATGGGGCGAAACAATAAAACATCACGTTGAATAGCCGGGCGGGTTATTTTCAAAACCAACGATAACGAAAACATATTTCTAATAGTAGATACGCAGATATAGATGTAAAACCAGAAATAGGCATCCACTTTAACAAGGAAAACTGGGAGAAATCCGAGTTTCCCTAGGTTAACTTCTACACATCGTAGTAAAGTGTACAATGTTTTATTTTCTATATGAACTTGTGTTTTTGTCAACAGGTCATGATGTAGAAAATTCTGTAGGCATATATTATATATTAGGGAAATCATACAGGGAAACAACATGTCTCTCATTTTTCCAGTGGGAATGCACCGTAGAACTGGCAGAAGTTTCGAGATATCACGAGGGTGGTCGGGTGGTCGGGTGGCGCAGTTGTAACGCACTCGCCTTTCACCTAGCCGTCCGGGGTTCGACTCCTGGAACGGACTTGAAAAGGTAAGGGTCACCTGCTCGACCCGACGTGGGATTTCCCCGGTTACTCCGGTTTCCTCCTTCAATAAAGCCTCTCTCGCCCTTACATCCGGGCCAACACGAGTGGTTGGTATAACTTGAAATAAGTTAGTTATATCATTAGGAGAGTCTAGCTACCAGTGACCTGAGCCATCCATCGACAAGTAAATCTACGATAGGTATTGCCAGTCCTAGTCTATATCAATTAAGTCTTGTATTTAAGTTATCAGTATGATATTAATTCATACTAGCGTATCGACAACATTATGTGATCTACTTCTGGCCACTTCAATGTTAGGAGAGAATTCACATAGGCTTTGCCTGTTATTCAATCCAGTTTGACGTTTACATCTTGTCAATAAAATTTGTTGAAATGAAATGAAATTTCACATACGATTAGTGAAAACGAGGCTAAGGATTTAGCGTGCATCTCATTAAAGACGTCACGGTTTTAACTGACTTTATCTTACAGCAATTCTGATAGCTCACGCGCCTTTAGTGGGGGAACAAGCAGTAAGGGGATAGTTCTATTTATAAATAATTATGACTTGTTTTATTCTTATCATGAAGATGTTAACAATTCTGCAGAACTGAATGGATCAGTGGTAAGATGTTTATTTAGAGCAGAAGACGCTGGGGACATGACGAACCGTAGCTTCATTCTCAACCACGTGATATATATATCATAAAACGTTAAGTGCCTGTCTTATCTCTTAATCACACTCTACTTATCAGCCACTAGCTGGAGTTTGCTGGTTATCTATATAAAACTGTTTTTGTTGTAAAAGAAGTTTACCACACGAATTATACACGGCTTTGTTGGCAGGGAACCTTTAGGGCTATGATTGAACCTTTTAACTGTTGGAGTTTACATCGCATTTCAAGGAGGAAAAGAAATTAGGTATTAGTTTTTCAATTCTTTATTTTATCAACGCATTTGCTTCTTTCAACATTTTGGCATTGGATTGTTAACACTGCAATACACTATGTTATCTCGTACCGTGAGATGCCTCCACATATCTTGATGTCTATAGAATTCAGCAAGGAATCTCTGACACCAATGTTTTTTAAACAAAGCATGGTAGAGAGTAATTAATATGTGAATATAAAATATGAAAAATAACATAGGAAGTTGATTAAAGATGTACAAATATTGTTATCTTATAAACTGTACAGTTATTTCACATCTTTACCTCAAATATTTAGCATAAAGGGATAAAAAATTATGAATATTGATATCGCTTAATCAGGCGATAATAAGACAATTAAAGAGTTATGCGTCATTTTGAAATCCGGGCACATGACGATGGGATTTTAAATGGTCACATATATGGAAGTCCAGGAACATGACGATGGGATTTTAAATGGCCATATACATGGAAGTTCAGGAACATGACGATGGGATTTTAAATGGCCATATACATGGAAGTTCAGGAACATGACGATGGGATTTTAAATGGCCATATACATGGAAATTCAGGAACATGACGATGCATTAAACTCCCTGCCGTAGGTGATCTATATGTGATGAACGACTGTGGACAACAACTGAACTTCCCATCACAAGTATCTGTATTTATGTGTGTATAATATACTGCCTAAGGTTATCACAATACAAACTAGCAGAGTTAAGTATTTGTCTTTAATCGAGTTGTCTGTATCTGTTTATATGATTCTGTTATCGTCACATTTCCGAGATGTAACGGAGATACCCGATGTATTTGCTTATCTACGACAGCATAAATACATTGTATAAACCCCATCTCCATTGTAGATTCAGAGGAGTTTGATTAAGAAATTATCACATATTAGAAGTCAAGAAGGAAGATAAACGTTTTACCGTGTGTTGTATACATGCCACAAGCGAACTTCAGGGTAATTGTTGGGAGAGTAATGAACTAGTTTACATAGATTGGTTGGTCATGCATGAAGGAAATGGACAGAATCATTATATATGTTGAATATCATATATCATTAAAAATCATAAACAACTAACACCTTTTCTATTTGTAACTTTTTTACGTGAAGGGAACAAAATATTCTGCATGCGTTTTATATCAAATCACAGGTACTTCCGGTGAAAACTCTATAATTGGTTCGATATGGAGCCAGGATTGGTAACAGATGGCCACTGTATTCAACAATAATGTTGGCTCAGACTAAATGTTTATATAGGAAAAGGATACAGTGTGGCTGCCTATAAACACATTGCCTGAATGACCTCATATATTGGTACTCACATGAATGTTAACAGGATCAGACTCTAGTATGAACAGACAGCACGTGCTAGCAGGTCCAAACAAATTGGAACTAACTTTGAGAAACTATGTTACTCGTGCCGTTTGCCAAAACACTTGGTCCCTCTAAAATTAGCACCATCGCACGTAAAAAAGCACCAAGGTTTCAACTGAACACGTACAGAGCTGAAAGCAGTGTATTTTGGTACCCAAATACATATCTGTTAGACATTATCATGAAAAATAGTAAAATATTCAAATATATCTTTAAGTAAAAACCGGTACATTTATCTATCAGAAGTTGAGCGGATATATAGCCTGAAACTTATTAAACGAAAAATTCAGCGTAATTAATTATCAAGAGATAGAACTGAAAAAAGGTTACCTTGAAATATTATGAAAATCCTCGCCAATCCAACAGCTTCAGAAATGTATGTTTTCCTTGTGAAGGCTATGTCTACCTTCCTGTAAAACACACCCCTGAGTTAACATTCACAGCTAACAGATACGCACAGGTTTATATATACACACGTGAATGAGTGATATTGAAAACGTCACAGCTACCGGATACCAACAAGTAGCCCTTCGTAAAATCATAACCAATATCAATATCTGACATGCGCGAAGGAGTCTTAAATGTCAAAGGTTAACTCTCAGGAATTTCGGATAGTGCCAAAGGGCAACTCCTACGGCAAATACACATCTGTTGTGTTTTGGGGTTTTTTCCTGGTGATCGGAGGTTTCAGTGAATTAATAGTACATTTTAGTAAGAAAAAAGGGTTTCAGTAAATTAATAGTACATTTTAGTAAGAAGGAAGTAATAGTATTAAGAGTCATTTAAAGATCGATGAAGGTAGGGTAAAAAATCGCTAAACTTTAAGAGATTTCTTATCTGTGGCTTAATACATAATCTTCCACAAGTTTCTCTAACTATGATATTTATAAAACTAGTCTTTTTGTCTGTTTACTAAATAAGATGTGAGATGAAATGAGGAGTTTCACAAGACTATTATAACTTGGAAAAGAATTAGAGATTCTGTTCATCACATAACTCCAAACATTCATAATATCTAAGCTGAAGATATTCTATATCAATTTATTTGTTGACGCGATGACGTATATGTCGCAATGAAGTTATGACGTCAGATAAGATACACAAGGAAGACATGCGCTATTCAACTGGTATACGGAGATGTGTGATACCTATTTGATAATTTGATATTTGGTTCCGGTATCGATAATCAGATTTAGAAATAAGATTGATAGTAAAGACAGTTTTTATCAGCCGTACTATACAGCCATTACATTTCTGAAATCTATTGTAATAGAAATGATTGAAAAAATATCATTTTATAGGATTCTATTGACAGCTAAAAATGTGTTAAATGTAACTTTTTTTCAAATACAAAAAAATCTCAGAAAGGTCCGAAAGGTTAACGTAGTATCTTAGAACATCAAACAAACAAACAAACAATACAAAAAACAAAAAATAAAGGTAAAAACAGAACGTGAAATTCTACAGATATGTATTCCGATACAAACAACCCTCTCCCTCGTTACTATAGGAACGAATAGGCCAAAATGAACCCCCATCCCCCATGTTAGATATGGTGATAGAAACATCTAGGTTCTTTCATTGGAAACAACAAACCAAGACTACATGAATTCCTAGAATCCTAATATTAATGCCTGAAATTATTTTTACGCAATTTGGAAATACAACTATGTATAAATTTCTAACGCACAAATATATTTTTAATGTTTGGTGTGTCGGTATGGACAGGTGAATGAGGTCATTTAAATGGCTGAATGAAGGAATTGAAATACAACTGTGTTGTTCTGCTAGTGAGCCTGAAGGTTCAGAAGGATGCAGTGTAGATACAGATTTATAGTTTTAAAACTTTTGATATATGTGATGATACAAAAGATAGCAGGTTAACCTATTTGTCTAAACACATGTGAGTGCATGTTTTATGTTGTTGAGCATGATGTGTAATCTCACTGTACATGTAAAATCGTTTTAGGAAGGAATATCACGCTGTTGTGTTTATAAACATTTCAGTATGAACGAATTCCGTCAGTACAGAAAGATGTCATAGACTAGGTGTCAGTGTACTACAATAAAGAATGCCTATTGTTGGTATAACAATGGCGAGTTCGTGACGCCCCTTGTAAATATCAGACTAACTAAATTAGACATTACTCGTGAAAAGGTTGAAGACACAATTCTAAAATTCGGGTTACATAATCCTTGAATGTTACTTAAACCTGTCAATATCTAAATGTCAATTACCTTTTAGCAATGACTGAATTTCCAAGCTATTTAACGCCATCATTAAGTAATATTATATATTGTTACCAACACTGGAACCATATCACAGACGTGTCGGCCAGACGAGGCTTGTTGTCAAAATATAGCAGCGCGTTGATTCAGAGGTTTCACCAAGCTTACATTCATAAATCCTGCATTCGGTTGGAAAGAACAGATCCCCCCTCCCCTCTAAACCCCTTCCCCCTACTCCGACATGAATGAATGGAAACGGAGTTCCGAACAAATTGAATACATCAGTAACGATGGCAGGAAATCATGATAGTCTTCAATGTTTAATTATTTTCGAAAAACAAATAACGTATTATCTATTTCTCTTATTTTTCTGTAATATTGTTTAGAATAAATCAAATGTTCCTTGTATAAGACCAGTAAAATTATAATGAAACCTAGACCTGGTAGGCAAATCAGTTGGAAACTATTCCAACTTCGTTAAACATCACGTGACATGATTAAGGATCTGTGCGTGTATACACGTGACAGTTTATATCTTTTACACCAATTTTTTCAGACGTCTTGAATTCAGGAAATATTCAGTGTACTCCATTAACCTATGTGGTAAATGTAAACCTGTGATATTCCGACTTGTTCCATTTTATTGTACGGTATGGAAAAAAATGTGTGATATTTGTTAACATGAAATAATATTATCATATTTATAGGCATTACGAAATTTTTTGAGTTAAGAAACTTTCCCATCTAGAATTTATATATATATTGTAAGCTCTTAGGGCCAAACAAAACATACAATAAGAATTATTAAATTGACTTTCCCATCTACTCATAGTCGAGAGCTTCGGAATGTAGGCCTACTCTAAAGTTTACATATGACGATATACCGGCGAGTGTGTAATTATTTAACTATGAGTATGCTGGGAAAATGATCACATCCATTCATAGTGGAAATATATTTCCGATCATAACAGCGCAGGCGTTCACACAGGAAATTGTTATATAATGATGAAGGTTGTGACCCTACCCTTTATTTCTATACAGTTACATCATTCGCGGAATTAAACTTTCTTGATTTTCTGATCAAAAACACTTTGAAATCTAGGATAGACTCTTTCTGATATATCCGTTTGAAATGAAGGAAAAGAGAGACGTTTGCTCTGCCATGTAGCCTTCACTATCGCTACACGTATATAAAGAGTGACTGTCTCGGAAAAAATAAATTTCAAAATGTTATGCGTAAAAAAACACGAAGAAAACTTAACAATATAGCCGCTGTACATGATGTGTAACATAAAGAGCAAACGGAAGTGAATTGTTTACGTCACTAAGTGAGGTTTGTGATAAAGAAGGAAGTCTTCCTCTCCTGAACGGTTAATGAGAAGGAAATACACACTTTCCTGTTCATTCACGTTACATGGTTATCCCATAAACATCGACCCCTCTCCTCTAATATATGAAGAACATGTATAATGGACAAGAACTTAGAAGATATAAGAGAAGAATATTTTACCTAAAGTCCCTTGGATGGCGGTACAGATGACGTAATTTTACCTAAAGTCCCTTGAATGGCGGTACAGATGACGTAATATTATCTAAAGTCCATTGGATGGCGGTACAGATGACGTAATATTACCTAAAGTCCCTTGGATGGCGTAACAGATGACGTAATATTACCTAAATCCCTTGGATGGCGGTACAGATGACGTAATTTTACCTAAAGTCCCTTGAATGGCGGTACAGATGACGTAATATTATCTAAAGTCCATTGGATGGCGGTACAGATGACGTAATATTACCTAAAGTCCCTTGGATGGCGGTACAGATGACGTAATATTACCTAAATCCCTTGGATGGCGGTACAGATGACGTAATTTTACCTAAAGTCCCTTGAATGGCGGTACAGATGACGTAATATTATCTAAAGTCCATTGGATGGCGGTACAGATGACGTAATTTTACCTAAAGTCCCTTGGATGGCGGTACAGATGACGTAATATTACCTAAATCCCTTGAATGGCGGTACAGATGACGTAATATTACCTAAAGTCCCTTGGATGGCGGTACAGATGACGTAATATTACCTAAATCCCTTGGATGGCGGTACAGATTAAGTAATTTTATCTAAAGTCCCTTGCATGACGGTACAGATGACGTAATATTACCTAAATCCCTTGGATGGCGGTACAGATGACGTAATATTATCTAAAGTCCCTTGGATGGCGGTACAGATGACGTCATCATGCCAGGATTTCCTGTTTCCTTTAGGTGGGATAACAACTCTGATGACGTCCCGTCAATTTTGTTCGTGTAAATAAATTCTAAACAGTAAAAGTTTATTGGACCTTGGAGGTCACCTTGACACATATTAATCATTTGTACCATATATCGACCTGGAAATTCAGCCTTAGTATTTCAGGAAAATTATCTCACTGTAACCCTGTTTTCATTAGATATCATTGGTTCTTTAACTTTATGACATGTTATACTTGAATAAACGCGGAAAGGTTACACTTGATCATGTGTATTGTTCAGCATTTTTCTATATACTGTATAGATTTTTCTGTCAGAGTTAGTACTATCAGTTGTCATGGTTGTATTTCAAGTGTAGAATTATCATGTCTGTAAACCTACATACAAATATAAAGTTTGGTTATATAAATGAGAGCCAGTTTTTTAATGTAATATAATCTTATATCTCGACATGACTGCAGCTCTTTTGTATATTAAATCAGTCGTTATTGCAGGTAAGACTTTTTATCAATGTTTTATCAACTTTTATCAGACTATACCTGCTAAAGAAGTTAGGCAAAATGACAAACTGTATGACGTCAGAATCAATAAGAAAATTATGTTCAGAGATCGATTACAACATCTGCCTCGTGACCTTAATGTCAAAGGTCAGAGCATTAAGGTCAATACTACGAACACAGTTTAGTTGTCTCAACTTTAATAACAATGTCCAGGGCATCAGAAGTAAGGAGTTTTGTTGTGATCCCAAGGTTTAATGAAGACTGATTAAAGACTCCCGTACATCCAGTGTCTGGAAATATAGTTACTGATCACGTGATTTAATCAAAATTGTTTCAATTTTTTTCCCGATTTTGACGAGTGTAACAATCAAATTTCTGATGTTGTATACAAAACCATTACT